ACTGATGCTTCCTTGTTCCCTCTGAGCTCAGTAGTCATGTGTGTGTGAAATAATGGATTTTCCATGCAATATTTTATTACAAGATATCCCTGCATCAACATAAACATGGGGCGGAGGGGAGAGGGTTATTCAGTTACTTTTAGCTCTTCATGACCAATAGACAACAGTTCACCAGGTCTGTCCCCAATTGCTTCTTTGAGTTCTTATAAGATCATGCTTGTGTCATCAGTGATCGTATCTAACCAGCTTGTCTACTGTTGGCCTCTCTTTGATTTTTCTAAGCTTCAGGGTCTTCCCCAATAACTCTTGCCTTTCATTATGCATCCAAGATATTTAAGTTTTAGGTTCATTATTTAATGATTCCAGTAAGCAGTATGACTTTACTCCATCAGCTAGTACTGTTCTTCTTATGCCCCAAGATATTCTCAAACTTTTCTGGCCCAAAGGCATCATTTTTTTTTCTTTTTTGTTCAGCCATTCTGGGAAAAACAGGAGCTTGACAATATGAATATGCACCTTTGTTGTCAGTGTGATATCTCTGCATTTTAATATTTTGGATAGCAAAATTAAGGCCCTATTGTACAGATACATAATGCTAAGCCATAACCTTGTTGAAAAAGCCACAGCTGGTAAGGTTCACAGACCACCATTAGCAAAACCAGGGCTACTAGTTCTGGGTTGCAAAAATCCAGATGATGACTAAATGGCAGCCATGTAGTCATCATTCGGATTTTTGCAGTCCAGATGTGGTAGCCCTAACCCAAACTAGACAAATGGCTTATCATAACGAATGACCCAAATGACAGCAGTATTAAACATCCAAAGTTTGACTATGTGTTGGATCTATCCCAGGAAGAGTGCCCATATAGTGATTAATCCAAATTTTCAGAGAGCAAAAGAAAACCTGATTTTGGGCCGGCATGCCAGAATACTATAGCGCATGTCCGCATACGACACTAAAATTTGTCAGGCGTGCATAAGCAGAAACTGGAACCGGTTTCGCACTGGCCCACCGATAACAGTTTTTGGCATTCACCCACTGGAGTTGGTCGGCCAATCAATCAATCAATCAAAAGGAGAGAGAGAGAGCGAGCGAGCGAGCGGATCTGGAATTTCTTCCGGGGTTCCTCCCAAAGAAAGGGAAGAGCGGCCTCCACTCGGTAGATGGCGCTGTGGGCCCGAGCCGCCGCGTTCTCTTCTCCGGCGGTGTGGACTTTCGCCTCCTCGGCACCGCATCATGCGGGCTTGGCCGGCCCCTCGCGCGGAGCCGGAACGCCGCCGCCGCCGCCACCGCCAGACCCCGGAGTCCCGCGGGGCTGCTGTCGCC